GACACCGAACATTCATCCTGATGCCAACAAACTTCAACAGAGGTAAGCATCTCAGAAATGCTCCCTAGTCGAATACTTCTCATCAGTTCTGCACATCAACTTGGTAATATTCTTCAATACAGCTTTGCCATCTCCCAATGATTTTTGTTGATGACTTCTCTCAGAAAATATTTGCTCAGCTCTTATGAAAATTATCCAACGTCTTAGAACATTCATCCTGATGCCAACAAACTTCAACAGAGGTAAGCATCTCAGAAATGCTCCCTAGTCGAATACTTCTCATCAGTTCTGCACATCAACTTGGTAATATTCTTCAATACAGCTTTGCCATCTCCCAATGATTTTTGTTGATGACTTCTCTCAGAAAATATTTGCTCAGCTCTTATGAAAATTATCCAACGTCTTACCAGCTAGGTTCATGGAAATAAACATTGCTATCAACAACCCTGGTTCGTTCAGCTCAGAATGTGTTCTCAAATAGAGAAAGAAAACTTTATACTTCCTGTGGTTTGTACAAAAGTCAGCTATTTCCTTCCCCGTACACCTTTTTTGTTTTCATGTTCTGGATCTGTCTCAACATTTGAACGTCTCTGAATTCATGTCTTTTTAGGATCAAGTTTGGAGAAAAAATTATTTCTCTCAGTATATGAAATAAATATTTTTAAAAGATTCTCTGGAGGACTCCCAGATACCAAATCTTTGCTTGAGAGAATTATTCTACAGTGAAATCCTTCAGAGTTAGCAGGCATTGCATTTTAACTTCTTAGAGGGCTATGTGTCCCTTAAGGAATATGTTGCTTATCTAAGGCAGTCTTGAGAAAAGCTTACCTCTTGGTCCAGTGCTGCTTGGCTTTTTATGAATATCTCTTTCCCAGTAGTTTGGCAAGAACAGTGCTAAAAGGAGGATTTCATAATTCTGGTCTCTTTTTCCCATGCTCCTGCAAGGCTGATGGAAAGATACTCTGTGCAAGACTACAATAATATTTTGGAGTATGCTGAGATACAAAGCAGAGAAAATAGCAGGAGTGAAGGATTGCTTTACTACAAATTTGTGGATTTCTGAAGGCATAATAATGGGGCAGTTCCTAATTCATGATAAATCTTGTTCATTGCTTGATTGATTTTGTTGGAGTATTATAAAGGATTATTATAAAAGTTATATCCTTTTCCCCTGGAGCCCTTAAGGGTGCATCTACATATTAAAAAAGAATGCATGGCAGTGAGTCTGAGCCTGGGTCGGGCTTGTGATGTTCAAGCTACAGGACTAAAATTAGCAACAGAGAAGTTCCTGCTCAGGCTGAGCCTGGGCTCTGAAATCTGTCACGGTAGCCTTAGAGCTTAGGCTCCATCCTGAGCGGAAACATTTATGCTACTATTTTGGCCCTGTAGTAAGAGCCTTAGTCATTTGACCTAGACTCTGAGACTTGCCATGGCTTTTAAAAAAAACAAAAACCAAAACTGTAGTGTAGACATTGTAACAGTGTGTTCTTGGTAGAACACTACAGAGAGTACCTGATTCATGGGCGCATACTCCTTAGACACAGGGCTGCCACAGCCAAAGAATGAGGTCCCTCCACTATAAGGCACATGAAAAAAGTCAAAAAGAGAACTTCTGTTTCATCACATGGGTTAACAAGAAGTCATACAAACAACTCCCTCAGACACTCCAATTCTCCTGTATCATCAACAGTAGAACTTACTATGCAGATGAAAATTTATGAAAAACAGTTTTTTCAAATAAAAGGTTCTTCTGATCCCAAATGACCAGCCATATGCCCACATCAATTTATAACTCTCTTACCCAAAAATCACACTGTTGCCAATCCTTTACCGTCTAAAATCTAAAGGTTTATTCATAAAAGAAAAGCATGGGCGAAGTAAAATTGTTAAAGGAATCAAAAACATGGAGCAGTTGCAAAGCTATTGGTATAGGCTTGTAGCAAAGATGGAATAAACTGCTAGTCCAGTCAGGTTTATGGAGTACATCTGCAGTTTGAATGGGGTCATTCAGTCATTTGTTTAGAGCTTCAGTTTATAGCAAAGATCTTCCAGAGGTAAGAATCAGGATTGAAGATAAAATGGAGGGGTTTCCAAGGCTTTTTTTTGTCTTCTGCCATGTGGAGGGAATCCCATGATTCTTGCTGTGGAAAAGTACAGCAAAAAAATGGTGTCCAGTCACATAAGCCATCACCTGGGTTTGTCCATGCATGACTCAGTTCTTTGCAAATGGATGCCATTGTCCCCAAGCTAGTTTCAACATTCACAAGAAGGCTCTTCAGATGTGGATTGTCACTTCCCAACATTCATTGTCAGTCAAGTTCTTCTGTGTGACTTGAATAGTCTTTTCAGAATAGGCTGGCCAGTGCTTTGCTGGTGCTACTCAGAATCAAACACATTGAAATACAAGTACATAGTCAAAGCTCATAACTTCAAATACAAAAATGGTATCTGGATAAACATAGCATAATTATAACCAGCAAATCAAATTTTTCATAAACAACTTATTTGGCATGCTTTGTGCAAGATTTGTTGTAAATATATAACAGGTGGTTGTAACAATGATCTCCACATGGTCATATTTTCGTCAGATAATGTCACAAGCATACCCTCAGACTGATATAAATACATTCATTTTGTGAGTTAGACAAGCAGAATTGTTTTACAGTGTAGTCTTAACCTTATACTCTTTTTGGAATAATTAGATTCCTGTTCATGCTTTACTTTCAGAAGAGTCTGTTCTTAGTATATGTTTCTTGGCATCCTCTCGATTCAACTCCTTCTGTACTCCCCCATAATTTAATGCAGCACATTAGTTTCCTTAGCTGAGGACCCCACATTTTCTCAGTATTCTAATTCCGCCTCACCTCCACATGAGATATAGCAGGTATTTCTTCCAGGCTCTGCTGGAATTTTGGTTGCCAAAGGGTATTGGAGGAGTTGTCAAGCTGTAGAGAACACTTTCTGGAGGAGGATTTATCTTTAGTGATTCAGGTGATGCAGGAGTCCATAGCTCTGTCTGCTCAGGAAGCTGGCAGATTTGCTTCTGATGTTTTCGTGATTCTTCCTCTTCTACCTGGGTTAATTAATCCAACAGATACCTGTAATCCTGAATACAGTGTGCGCACACCTTTTAGGAAATACTGCAAAATCCTTTTTATAAAGTTTTTCTACTCCTTCCAGAATAACATTCACAAATATCATCCATCCCACTTAGAAACAAAACAAAATTCATTTACCCCTAGCAGAGTTTATATCTATATGTAATATATAGATATGTTATATAGACCTATCTTCTAAGCTTTGCACACATGGATGAAGAAGAAAGGGGCACGATGTCCAAGGCATTACAGTGCTTTGTCGGCATGGACAAGCTCCTTGGTGCCTGGAACACTTCTTAACAGTGGTGGACTTATCAGTGAGACTAGTACCGAAGTCAAGAATTCAGAGGATTTTACTCCCACTGCACGTTCATTCCAAAGAGAGAGGGTAGGTGGTGACCTATCATAATAAGACAAGAATCAGTGCCTTCATTTGACGTTTCAAGTTTTGTAAAGTCATCCTAGGCTCCTCCATCCTCTCATTGGGTCCTATAGACTGGTTCATGGCTCTCAACCAGCATGCTTACTTCCACAGCTGGATATTTCTGCCACAGAGAAAAATCCTACAATTCATAAAATGAATATTCAGCTGTAAGTAGATAATCTTATCAGGTCCATGGAGAGACTGAAGAAGTCTTTATCAAGATCCTTGCTGTGGTTGCAGCTCATCTAAAGTGAAAGGAGTCTAGGTGTTACCCATATTAGGATGAGTGGCTAACATGAGTTTCTTCTACACAACAAGCAAAGAGTCCCTACAAAACACCTCTTTGCCTTTTTGAATGTCAGTGTCAGGAAGGACATTTCCACAGTGATTGCTACACAAAGCACAGTGTTACATTCCATGGTGGCTAAAGAAGACTTCATGCAACATGGTAACTTAATGCGCAACTAGTCTGTGCTTTGTCATAGCCCATCAGTAACAAGGAGCCATTCAGATGGAAGGATCAAACAACCTATGCTGATATCTTTCTGGCTGATTTGTAGTAAGTATCTCTTAAAATAGTTTGAAGGGTCTGGCGTGTATCCATGAACAACCTCTTAGCCCAGGGATTGTCAATTGTAGATATTTGAAAAAAGCATTAATCCTATTGCTGGTGTATGATGCTTTTGCCCTGTTTAGTGTTTTAACATTAAGAAATGATTAGTTTTAATTTGAACCAGCACTGAGTTTATAGACATATACATAAGCAACCAAACTAGAGACAAGAAACAAGATCCTTATCCTTGATGCACCATCTTCTCACATCAAAACCATGTATGTGAAAGGGACATTACTATCTAAGCGTCCTTGTTCTTTGGCAGACTGCTTTTTCTTGTCTAATACGACCTGTCCCGCTGGGAGTCTGCAACTCTTGGACAACTGTAGAATCAGATCTGTGAACTAATGAACATATTGGAAAGTTGGCAAATTTTGTAGTACGGTAAAACTCCGGTGGTCCGGCATCCAGTGGTCCGGTATGCCTGATGGTCTGGCACCAACTGCAACCCGGAAGTGCTCTGGCAGCTGCTTCAAGTTGTTAGTGTAATTAATTAACTGCGGCTGGAACCACAGCCGACACGCAGTTAATGTAACTTTCCTCTCTACTGCCTGGAGGAGGGGGGGGGGGGGGGGGGGGGGGCGACA